TTGTCCAAATTTTCATCATTTTATAAGCTGTTCCAAGAAAAATATTATGCATTGGATCAAATACAGAAAATTTTATTGGATCAAAATATGATAATTGAAGAAAACTTGACCATCAAATACCATATTGATCAAACAACTGTTTATGCTCACTAGATACAGAATATTTCCATTTCTCAGCTATTATTTTATGTTCTTTAATAGTTTGTAAAGTATAATTATCAATATTTGATTGATCTAAAGTATCATTAGTTTTAAAAAGTTTTTTGCATTTAAAATATGCATGTTTAGAAGAATGGCTAGAAAATCCACAAATTTTATTTCTTGCTGGTATATCACATAAAACTAAAATAAAGCTCCATAATACATTCTTCTAACTAAATATTTTATAGTTGCAAATGATTGACCAGCTCATAATTGTTTAAGCTCATCAACTAATGGATCCAAATATAAATTAATTTTTTCTGTTGTGGTTCTTTTGGTCCAGAAATAAGACTAACAAAAATTGTGTTTTCTTTTTTATATCTTAGATGATATGGCAAATTTAAAATAGTTAAATAAACTCCAGCAATTGAATAAACTATATGTTTAGTAACTTTAAACCAGTCAATATTAATTGCAAAGCCAATATTAGTTTTGTGCAAAAATTTTTGAAAAAAAAGTTTGTTTTGATCATTTTTAAAAGTTTTCCATACTTGTCTATCATAGAGATCAGAAAAAATATTAGATGAAGTATTTTCTCTTCATAACAAGATTCTAACAATTCTTTTAAACCAGGCTGTTACAATAAAGTAGCTAATTGACTTAAAATTTATTAATATGGATATATCTTAATTGGTTTATAAATTATTTTTCTTTTGCTTGTTCTAATCAGTTTTTTAATAATATTTTATATTCACTACAACTTGATTGTAAATTATTTGATATACTTTCTAAATTAGTTAAAAAATAATATTTTTCACATACAATAAATTGTATAATTGTTTTCTTAAATGATATAGCATCTTTAGCTTTATATAATGTCTCAGGAAAATTTAAATCATCATTAAATACTAAAGCTTTAATAAACATTAATAAAGCTGTAATTGCAGTATATGGTAAAGTAAAAGCTTGTTGAAAAGAAAAAATCTATAATAAAACCTATTGAATTGTTAAGTTAAAAGAATCTTTAAATGTATTTGATAATATAGAGTATAGTATATATCTTGAATTTGGTTGAGTATATGCTTTAGTACTTTTAAAGTTTAAAATTGTTTCTTCTTCAATATCACTATCTTCTAATTCTATATCATCAAGTAGTCCAGTATTTTTTATCAAAGATAAATTTTCAAAATCATTTTCTTGTTCAGTTTCACTATCTTCAGAACCATAATTTAATGCTACTCTAAATTTTTTTATTTGCTCTATCTCCTCATTATCTATTTCTTGTTCTGTTTCATGTTTGACTTTTTCATATTCTGATTTTTGCTCATTTCTTTGTTTAATATTACTTGCTAAAAATAATGTAGTTAAATCTTTAGCAGATGACATTGATATATTAAAGCTTTGACTAGTAGATAAAATAGTTATTTAGTTTCTTTGTGACTATTATCAATAGAATGATCTATTCTTCCAAATTGTTCTTGTCGATGCAATCTTTCTGTTTGAGTACTCACAATTTTTCCACTTTCACCACAAATAGTACAATAATACCAAACCATATTTGTTTTACAAATAAAAAATATAATACCCAAAATTAAAGTTTTAAAGTTAATTATAACTTTGTGGTAGATTTAAAAAAACCTAAATATATTTTTTATTTTGATTTAAAAATTAATTTTGTGTTATTGCTAGAAAAAGTAAAATATAGAAA